TTTTTTTTTTTTTTTTTTTTTGGTAATGGCTGCAAACAAGTTCAAAGGCAAATTTATCGCCCTCCTCTAGGAAGTGTACAGACTTTATGACATTATTTTTGGTCCCAACCTTATCTCTCTTGGCTTCAACTTATTATTCCTACTTACATTTCCCTTTGCACCAATATCCTTATTTTTTATTTTGTTGATGTATGTATGTACATATTCCTGTAAGCCAACGAAAACCTCTTTGGGATCAATACAAGATATACATAAGGGCTCCTGTCTGGCTGTCTTTTTTTTTTTTTTAAACCTTTTATTGAAGCATAAAGATACACATAGAAAAGTGTCTGATTATCACAAGGCAAACCAGCTAAGTAATCAGCATCCACCACAAGAAATCATATCCACCATCTTCAGAAGCCCCCTCATCCCCCAATCCTGCTATTACTGACAAAAGAATAACTGCCATTCTGACTTCTACGACAACAGATCAGTCCCATTTGATTTCTCATTTTGGTGCAGCATTCCATTTTATAAATACAATATATCACAATGTACTTAACTATTCTGCTGTTGATGGTCATCTGGGAGTTTTCTGCTTGGGATTAAGAACAAGTCTGTACATTTCTTTTGATGACTATATGTATGCATTTTTGATAGGCTTGCCCCCAGAAGTAGAACTCCTGGGACATAGGTTATGCCTACATTCTGAGAAAAGCATACAATTCTTGATGTTGGGGTCGTGAGTTCGGGCCCCATTGGGTGTAGAGATTACAAACATAAATAAATAAACTTAAAAAAAAGATACATAGGGGTGCCTGGGTAGCTCAGTCGGTTGAGCAATCGACTTCAGGTCAGGTCATGATCTCATGGTTTGTGAGTTCAAGCCTCGTGTCGGGCTCTGTGCTGACAACTCAGAGCCTGCTTCTGATTCTGTGTCTCCCTCTTTCTCTGCCCCTCCCCCACTCATGCTCTGTCTCTGTCTCAGAAATAAACATAAAAAAAATTTTTTTTTCAACGTTTATTTATTTTTGGGACAGAGAGAGACAGAGCATGAACGGGGGAGGGGCAGAGAGAGAGGGAGACACAGAATCGGAAACAGGCTCCAGGCTCTGAGCCATCAGCCCAGAGCCTGATGCAGGGCTCGAACTCACAGACGGCGAGATCGTGACCTGGCTGAAGTCGGACGCTTAACCGACTGCGCCACCCAGGCGCCCCCAAAATTTTTTTTAATAAAAAAAAGATATATATAGAACCCTAGTTCATTACCTAGAAAATACTCATTTGCCTTTGAAATCAGCAGACTGAAATAAGCACAGCTCAAGAATTTAGAATTAGAAAATACAAATCTACCTTGATAGACTTTTTTAAAGATTTTTGTTTTAATTAATTACTTATTTGTTTGCTTGTTCTGAGAGGGAGAGTGAGCAAGCAGGGGAGGGGCAGAAAGAGAGGAGAGAAAGAATCCCAAGCAGACTCCGCAGTGTTGGCGCAGAGCCCGATGTGGGGCTTGAACCCACAAACCGTGAGATTATGACCTGAGCTGAAATCAAGAGTCGGATGTTCAACTGACTGAGCCACCCAGGCACCCCTAAGGTTTTATTTTTAAGTAATCTCTACACCCAATGTGGGGCTCAAACTCACAACCCCAAGATCAAGAGTCACATTCTCTACTAACTGAGCCAACCAGGAGCACCGACTTTGATAGAAATTTTTTAATTATTTTTAAACCATACAGCTATATTATTTTGATAGAAAATACACCAAAACAAAACAAAACAAAACAAACCAATGCTGAAGAAAAACACAAACCTTCTCCTGGCCCACCACCACCACCACCTTTGGGGGTAATGAGTTCTCTACGAAGCTTAGCAAGGCGAGCCTTAAGCAGCCCTAGGTGGTGTGCTGTGGCCTTGTTCTTTTGAGTCCGAGCCATCTGTAAGGGAGGAATCACAGTCATAAATCAGAAGCAGTTCCCACAGGTTAAAATATCCAGAATGAATGCTCCCTCAAATCTGAATGATTTTTTTCCAGATCCTACTGTCAGTATACCCATTTTAGTCAGACTTAAAAAAAGGGGGGGGGGTC